TTGGAGAACTCCTATTTCAATTAAGCCCTGATGCTAAGAAAATAGTTAGAGGGATAGAAGCCCTAAACCAGAAAAAAAAAATAAATACAGAATATGCGGTCATATTCAATGAAACATGTTTGAAAGAAAACCTGCTGCCAGTATACACCAATATATATATATATATATATATATATATATATATATATATATATATATATATATATATATATATATATATATATATATATATATATATATATATATATATATATATATATATATATATATATATATATATATATATATATATATATGTCGTACCTAGTAGCCAGAACGCACTTCTCAGCCTACTATGCAAGGCCCGATTTGCCTAATAGCCAAGTTTTCATGAATTAATTGTTTTTCGACAACCTAACCTACCTAACCTAACCTAACCTAACTTTTTCGGCTACCTAACCTAACCTAACCTATAAAGATAGGTTAGGTTAGGTTAGGTAGGGTTGGTTAGGTTCGGTCATATATCTACGTTAATTTTAACACCAATAAAAAAAAATTGACCTCATACACAATGAAAAGGGTAGCTTTATCATTTCATAAGAAAACAATTATTGAAAATATATTAATTCAGGAAAACTTGGCTTATTAGGCAAATCGGGCCTTGCATAGTAGGCTGAGAAGTGCGTTCTGGCTACTAGGTACGACATATATATATATATATATATATATATATTCAATATAAATCTCAATAGCATATATAAGTACAGATGGTTACTTTATCACAAATATATCAAATTAAAATATTACTGTCTCTCCCAGAAATAATATAATATTATTATATGTATGGTTATGACAGAACAATAATGTACAACTTAACTCCACAAGATGTTAACTCTCTGGTTCCGTTACAGCTACTGACCTACATATCTGCGGGAGTCAAAATCATTGCTTCTGCCCCGCGAAAATTTGCCAAAGTTGCAATATTTATTATTTCTACAATGGAGCAATATATTGTGACAAGAGTAATCTTAAACTAACTTAATGAATGGTCAATACATATTGGTATAACAAAATAAGGTAATTATTGCTTTACATAGTAATTAAAATACACATACAAAGGGGAATGATGGCATGCTCATCCAGCAACGAACTATCCCACGACAATTTGCCAGATACAGTTCACACAATTATTATTCACCTATGTTACCCACATATGATCACATATAAATCATTAGTTCCCATGGGAAACTGAGTACACAAAGAAATAAAACAATCATTCCCACGATACGTTGGGCCTGACGCCAACAATGTAACATGAAATTATTTTACATAGAACATATAAGAATATCAATATACATACATGTAATTTATACACAATTATAAATATACATATTAATTTATTTAATTACGTATCTTATAGAGGTACGTAACACGTCACAGCTCTAAAAAAAAATATTTTTAGAAATCTGAAATATTCAGTCTGAGGACCGAATCCATTTTAAAATAACTTAATAAATGATTATTAAACTTAACTCAAAGAAATTCAACTTCAAACAACTCACCTTCCGGAAATATGAAATTTATATGGGGAATGAATGGTTCCTGCTGGGAGGGGGTGGACGCCATGGTTGATGCGCCGGACAAGTCAAGTCACACGATGGTATATACATCGTTGATCGACCTCGACTACAATCAGGAAAGTGCACAGTTGTGTCTTCACCATGGCACAGGTTTATGCCCATATTCTTGTTAATCATAGGTGGTGCCGAGGCACGGAAACCCAGCCATAATGGGTGACGTTTTCCAACATTGAATTATTTGGAAATAACTCTAATAAATCCAAAATTACTAATAACCTGAGACATATAAGGCGTGCAGAGAACCGACGCCATAACCCACATTGTCTACCAGGGAGGAGACTCGGCCCCACGCCACTCTGAACACCAGAGCTTCAGCTTTTAAATCAAATAAGCTAACGCTCGTACAGTTATCAGATTAATTATTTACAAATCACTACCAATAACCTGAATTAATTCTAATAACTGATTTATTTTAGTTTAATGATTTATTTATTTATATATAAAACCCACCCAAGCTTGAATAGAGTTTATTTTCGAGGAATTCAACAAAAACAGTCCACTACTTTCCACGAGGTAAATAATAAATTCTCATTAACTAGAATTGAATTAATTTAAATGAACAAAATTAAACAAATATTCCCACAAGTAAATAACCCGCACAAGACGTTCACTGATCCAGTCCATTATGTTCACTTAACCGGTGTCAAGTGTTCGTTGAACCAGTACTAAGTGTTCACTGAAGCTGTGCCTTGTGTACACCTGAAGCAGTGCCAAGCGTACACTGAAGCAGTGCCAAGTGTACACTAAAGCAGTGCCAAGTGTACACTAAAGCAGTGCCAAGTGTACACTAAAGCAGTGCCAAGTGTACACTAAAGCAGTGCCAAGTGTACACTAAAGCAGTGCCAAGTGTACACTGAAGCAGTGCCAAGTGTACACTAAAGCAGTGCCAAGTGTACACTAAAGCAGTGCCAAGTGTACACTAAAGCAGTGCCAAGTGTACACTAAAGCAGTGCCAAGTGTACACTAAAGCAGTGCCAAGTGTACACTAAAGCAGTGCCAAGTGTACACTAAAGCAGTGCCAGGTGTACACTGAAGCAAGGCCAAGTGTACACTGAAGCAGTGCCAAGTGTACACTAAAGCAGTGCCAGGTGTACACTGAAGCAGTGCCAATAACAGCAATTTAAAGAACCCTCGTCAACTGTGTATTGTATCAGTGCCTGCCTTCTGCGTCTTAGCAAGCAGTTGCATGCTGGATGCGCGTGAGGAGACAAAAGCAGGTCAGAGGAGCGACACGGAGGGGCGGGCCACGGTGCCAGGGCCGTGGCGGGCTCCGTGCCTAATCCATTACCGTGGCGTGGTTCGTGAGGCACCACACACACTCTCTCTCTCTACCCTGACAAGAAGTTAATCAAGCCCGCTATTGTTCTCCGCTTCCTTGTCCTGCTGCCTGATAACCTTCCTGCTTTACAGTAAATTAAATTGGTGTTTTTCCACCGAAGTTTATTTTATATTTAACGTTACTATCTTTGGCCTGCAGTTAATATATATATATATATATATATATATATATATATATATATATATATATATATATATATATTAGCCAGAACGCACTTCTCAGCCTACTATGCAAGACCCAATTTGCCTAATAAGCCAAGTTTTCATGAATTAATTGTTTTTCGACTACCTAACCTACCTAACCTAACCTAACCTAACTTTTTCGGCTACCTAACCTAACCTAACCTATAAAGATAGGTTAGGTTAGGTTAGGTAGAGTTGGTTAGGTTCAGAGTTCTTCTGTAGGGTAAGGCAGGTCCTAGTCAATAACGGCTTCTCCAATGGTTTCGTCGAAGACATCATAAGAAGGAAAGTGAAAAGCCATGCAACCTCTGAAGAGACAACTAACACAACACCTATACCCCCTATTAGACTATTTTACAGGAACTTCTTTTCCACAGCTCATAAAACGGAGGAAAGGGTCCTGAAAGATATTGTTAATAGAAACGTTATCCCTACAGACAAAAATCAAAGGATACAACTGACGATTTACTATAAAACCAGAAAAACGGCCAGCCTACTCATGAGAAACTCTCCAGACACAAAACAGAACGCTTTAAAAGAGACTAACGTCGTCTATGCCTTCAAATGCCCACTTGGGGACCGTAAGCTCCAAAAAACCCAGTATATAGGCAAGACAACAACATCTCTTTCTAGGCGTTTAACGATGCATAAGCAACAGGGCTCCATTAAGGAACATATAATCTCTTCCCACAACCAAACCATCGCCAGAGAAATCCTAGTAAACAACACAGAAATCATCGATAGATACAGCGATAGCAGGCGGCTTGACGTTTGCGAGGCACTACACATCAAGAAGTCAACACCAGCAATCAACAGCCAATTATTGCACAACTATATTCTACCCACCTCAAGACTCCGCTCCAATATAGAAGCATCAAGAAATATGGACCAATAGGCTTTCTACAAACACTTCTATTCAATATCCATTGTTTCGTGTTCTGTCTTGTGTTGATGAAATTAATACCCTATTAATACCCTTGTTCTGTCTTGTGTTGATGAAATTAATACCCTATTAATACCACATTTTGTTCTGTCTTGTGTTAATGCCACATCACCCCTTCCACCTCACTCAAATGTAGATATAAAATCGGAGATACGTAAGTTCTATTCAGTTGTGTATTTGTGAACTAGTCTTTGAAAATGTAATAAGTTTTACGAAACGCGCCCGTGTCGCGTCAGACTAGAAATAAAAATGCATTTTGGAGAATTGATTTTTGATTTACCTCGAACAGTGAAGCGTAATGTACGAAAGATTGAGAAAATTCGTGTTAGAATTATTAATCTTACTTTTTCGGTCATATTTAATAATATATATATATATATATATATATATATATATATATATATATATATATATATATATATATATATATATATATATATATATATATATATATATATATATATATATATATATATATATTATATATAAATTTTATGTATTCCTTTAGTCCTAAAGGAAAATTTTAACAAAGTGCTCATTACTTATTTAGGGGTTACACTGGTGACCCGCTCTTGTGAACGGCAGTTTAGTAACCCAAGACCTTTTTTAAAGTTGACTGTTGTAGGGTCACGAGCCTTAACGAACGATAGGTAACACGACGCAAGCTCGAAAAACTTTCGTAATTATTTACGTAATTATTACATCCTCTTTTGTAATACTAATATACTAATAATTACTTTCGTAATTATTATATAAATTATTACACACTCTTTTGTAGGAGAAACATTTAAATCAAATTAGTTTCCATAATTCTATACAGAAGGATAAATAAATTTCTTGCTGTATACTTAAAGTTACGAAAGTTAAATAAAATAGTTGGAAAATTTTTCCACATCTTGGACTAGTCTAGTGAACATCTAAGTCTGGGTCGTGTCAGTGGTGGAGAGGTAGGACTGGACCGTGTCAGTGGTGGAGAGGTAGGACTGGACCGTGTCAGTGGTGGAGAGGTAGGACTGGACCGTGTCAGTGGTGGAGAGGTAGGACTGGACCGTGTCAGTGGTGGAGAGGTAGGACTGGGCCGTGTCAGTGGTGGAGAGGTAGGACTGGACCGTGTCAGTGGTGGAGAGGTAGGACTGGACCGTGTCAGTGGTGGAGAGGTAGCACTGGACCGTGTCAGTGGTGGAGAGGTAGGACTGGACCGTGTCAGTGGTGGAGAGGCAGCACTGGGCCGTGTCAGTGGTGGAGAGGTAGGACTGGACCGTGTCAGTGGTGGAGAGGTAGCACTGGACCGTGTCAGTGGTGGAGAGGTAGCACTGAACAGTGTCAGTGGTGGAGAGGCAGCACTGGGCCGTGTCAGTGGTGGAGAGGTAGGACTGGACCGTGTCAGTGGTGGAGAGGTAGCACTGGGCCGTGTCAGTGGTGGAGAGGTAGCACTGGGCCGTGTCAGTGGTGGAGAGGCAGCACTGGACCGTGTCAGTGGTGGAGAGGTAGCACTGGACCGTGTCAGTGGTGGAGAGGCAGCACTGGACCGTGTCCGTGGTGGAGAGGCAGCACTGGACCGTGTCAGTGGTGGAGAGGCAGCAGTAGTCCGTGTCGGTGGTAGAGAACATGGCTGGAGAGGCGGCAGCCTGGCGAATAGCAGCAATTTACAGACGTTAAAAATTACCATGAAATCTGCATGTGAACCTGAAATACAAATAATTAAACAAACAACTAAACGACGCTTCATTTGGAAACATTTCGTACTAACAAGCCTTGTACTCACCTCAATAAGTGACCTGTAAACCCATCGCAACAATTTATGTTCACAGCAATGAAATTGTTCACCTCTAGAAACACCCGTTTAAAGTTTAGATTTTTTCTAATATGCGGAGTCACATCTTCGTTTATACAGCTGTTCTGGAGTATATGATGGGTTGTATAATTTGCGTCAAGAGTAAGCTATGGGATACTAAACTTCCCATCTGGCCGGTTATAGGTCAGTGTTTGTGGGCATTATGAGGCATGTCTCCAGAGCACGGGCGTGAAGATACTACTATCGGGAGGTCTGAGTGCACTAACGACTGGACACTTAGTAATGTAGTGTGTGAAATCAGAACCCAGTTTGTAATCACAAAGTTTAAATCCTGAGTGATCAATGTTGGGAGATTGGTCACTTGCGGCCACCTGCCACAGGTAACGGTGGCATTATACCGGTCACTTGCGGCCACCTGCCACAGGTAACGGTGGCATTATACCGGTCACTTGCGGCCACCTGCCACAGGTAACGGCGGCATTATACCGGTGGAGAAATTTGCATTATACAGAACAACGCACACACCAAGGTAGAGGAAATTCGCCCACCACAAATCCTACGAAATCTTGCTCAGTAACAGTTCAACTATTGGATGCAGAAATCCTCTTAGTACACAGATATTTGCATTATACAAAGCAAACAACAAACACAACAAGGAGGACGAAATTCCTTCACGGCGCCACTGCAGCGTTGCCTTGCTCAATAACCCGCTGCAGGGAAGAATTAATGCATACCTGAGGAAACTGAGCCTCGCATAATTTACTCGCCGCATCCTTCATAAACAACCCGAGGCCCGTCACACAGACAGTAACTGCCGCGGGACCTCCAGACAGGTAGGAGTAAAAGATCATTTTGCCAACCTACTGCCGACGACACAGCAAGCGACGGCTCTCAGCGGCGAGGAGAGGAACATCAGGAGCTGCCGAGTTCTGCATCACTCCGCCGACAACTCATGCCAGTAATGGCCAAATTAAACCCCGTCTGCCACGTCGCAGCAATGTAGGTGGATCCCAGCGGCATCTGGAGTGGAGGGCCTGCGAGACGAGGCGCTAGGTCAGTGCTCCCAGACAACTAAGACGAACCATTCAAGAGACACAGAGAATATATCTTACATGAAAGCACATAAAGTATCTCATACTCGCACTGGACAATTATAATGCATTTCTGACATGTAATTTTGTGCGCAGTGAATGCGACTTTAAAAACAGGTATCTACCAGTCATAAAAATTTGAAGAAATTCTGTCGGTTGTGTTTATATTGCGAGGACTTATCTATATGAAAGAGAGTGTCTGCCTGTTTGTAGATCTGTCCGTCCAAGGATGGAGGCCAAACTTTGCAGAATTATAATGATTTCATGGACCCTCTTCCCTGATGGTGAAGGAGGCTTCACCAAATCTTCGGATGTGAAATGTTCTGTCCCACCACCTTAACCTTTAGCATTAGTTACTTTAAATAATAATGAATTCACATATTACACATCAAAACGTATGTTGTGATGAGAGATTTTCATTCTGGGTGCCACCTGCAGCTGCAGTGTTCGGGGTGAAGAGTGTATCTGGGCAGGGAGACACGGGACGCAAGTGAGAAGGGAAGGAAGGAAGGAAGGAAGGAAGGAAGGAAGGAAGGAAGGAAGGAAGGAAGAGAAAGAAGAGATACAAGAAGGGCGTGAGTGTACTGGGAGGGAGGAGATGAAAGAAGGGTGTGTGTATGTGCTGGAAGTAAGGAGACTGGGTAAGGGCTTATATGCCCTTACCCAGTCTTACCCAGATCTTACCCAGATGGATGGACTTACCCGGTACTCAAATATATATGAGTACCGGGAGGAGATAGTGGAAAGTTGTGTATGTTCAGGGAGGATGAAGGGGGTGGGGGGGGGGGCGGGGATTTTATGTGCATCTTGCCACAACTAAAGGCGTCTAAAGTGATGCCCCTTTCTCAGAGTATTTTGAGATTATGATCTTGAGATGGTTTCGGGGCTTAGCGTCCCCGTAGCCCGGTTTTCTTTGTTACACACCCTCAGGAAGGTGTGTAACAAAGCTGTCTAACTCCATGGTACCTATTTACTGCTAGATAACAGGGGTACCAGGGTGAAAGAAACTCTGCCCATTTATTTCCGCCTCCACCGGGGATCGAACCGGAACCTCAGGACTACGAATTCGAAGCGCTGTCCACCCAGCTGTCAGGCCCATTAGGATGACTATTAGGATAACCCATTAAGTAAAGGATAACAATTAATTTTTGTTTAGTATTTCCCCAGCTAAGCTCCTCTGACCGGAGGACAGACATAGACAGAGATAGACAGACAGACAGAAAAAAAGGCAGAAGGAGTCAGAGACAGAGACAGACAGAAACAGAGAGCGAGAGAATCAACCACAAACAGCAGATGGGTTGATGGATTGATGGAAGATGAATTCATGGATTAAGATGGATAGATTGATGAAAAGATTGATATAGATAGATGGATGGATAGATAAATGGTTGAATAGATGGACAGATAGGTTGACAAGAGTGGAAAAAGAGAAAGATATATAGAAATATGGTTAGATGGAGAGTTAAGTGGATGGACAGGTATATAGATGGATAGATAGATGGAAAGATGGATAGATAGATGGACAGATGGATAGATAGATAGACAGATCGGTAGACAGATGGAAGGATAGATGAATAGGTAGATAGATTAAATGGTAGATGGAGAGAGATGACTGAATAGATGGATAGATATATGAATAGATGGACAAATATACGAATAGTTAGATGGATACAAAGATGGTTGGATAGACAGATAGATAATATATATATTGGTGGATAAATGGGTGGGTGGGTAGATAGATGAATAGACAGAAGAATACATAGATGAATAAATATATGGATAAGTGAGTAGTTTTAGAAATAGACGAATAGATATAGGGATAAACAGGAGAATAAATGGCTGGATTGATGGATGGATAGATTGATAAATAGATGGACAGAGGGATGGATACATGAATGGATAGTTAGTTGGATAGATGAATAGATAAATGGATAAATAGATTGGGAGATGAGTGGGTAGAGAGGGATATATATATTAATGCACTAATAGATGAGTGGATAGAGGAGTAGATGGATGGATAGATAGATGCATAGATGGATGGATAGCTGGAAAGATTGATAGATTGAATAAACGTATAGATAGATTGATAGATGTTAGACAGATGGATGGATAAATGAATAGACTGATAGATAGATATACAGATTGATTTAACGATAGATGGATATGACGATAGATAGACCGATCGATAGAACAAGAGATGGGTTGATGGATATAGCGATAGATGGATAGATGGATGCATACATAGTTGGACTGAACGAAATATGGATGGATAGATATATAGCTAGATAAACAGATGGGTATGGGTATATTTATGAATAGATGTATGGGCAGATGAATTGATGGATAGTCGGATAGATATAAGGATAGATAGATAGATAGATAGATAGACAAATGTGTGGATAGAGGGATGAATTGAGATATAAATGGTTAGATAGTTGTATATAGGGATGGAGTGATGGATGAATGGAAAGATAGATGGATAGATAGACTGTAGGACTCATTCTATACATAGTATAGAATAGTATAATATAGAATGACGGATAGCATAGATTACATTCATAGTATAGTGTTCTATACATACATAATACATACATTCTGTACATAGTATAGAATGACGGATTTACAGATACATAGGTTAATAAATAGATAGACGGACGGATTGATGTATAGATGGATGAATAAATAGATAAAATGATGGATAGATGCACTGATTGGTGGAGAAATAGTTAGAGGGATAGATAAATATATATTTAAACAAATGGATAGATAGATGTGTAGATCGGAGATAGAGAGACCCTAGCACTGCCGGGTACCGCCTCACTTTACTGTATACTATAAGAAATAATATCTATCCAAAGTTGCAGAACATAAGAACATAAGAACAAAGGTAACTGCAGAAGGCCTATTGGCCCATACGAGGCAGCTCCTATTCTATAACCACCCAATCCCACTCATATACTTGTCCAACTCGTGCTTGAAACAATCGAGGGACCCCACCTCCACAATGTTACGCGGCAATTGGTTCCACAAATCAACAACCCTGTCAAGGGTTGTTGATTTGCAGGCCAGATGCTTGGGGCCAGTCTCACACAACTTGGCAAAGGGAATGGTCTGAGGTACGGGATGAACATAGGATGGACAATGTCGGTAGTATCCATAAAGGGATGCAGTTATTATTTAAGATTTGCTACCTGTATCTTAAAGTTCCAAGTAGGACGGGCTATGGTGAGCCCGTAATATCGTGTCAGGGGGTTACACTGAGCCCCCCCCCCCCCCCCACCGCAAGGACAAATGTTTGGCAATGAACAGCCAGCAGCCTAATATTTTAAAAACAAACTTTTGAAATATTTCCAAAACTAGATATTAAACAAAAAATTTCGTATAGTAATATATATATATATATATATATATATATATATATATATATATATATATATATATATATATATATATATACACCCGTTATTCGTTGATCTCGGGACAACTGATATAAATTTCCTGCTGTCAATAATTTGCCCGTACTGGCATAAAACAGGCGATCTTTCCACAGCTTCACAGGTTTCTCAAGCCTCTGCTGGTAACCAGAGCAAGAGGCTACTATTCTCTTTCAGTATTTCACACCACTGTCCTTCTCTCACGTTTTATAAGAGAGAGCAACAGATAGGCAGACGGACAGAGAAAGACAGAAAAAGTGACAAAGACAGACTGAGACAGAGATAGACAGTCACACAGAGACAGAGTTACACAGAGACAGTCACAAAGAGATAGAGACAGTCACTCAGAGACAGACACAGACTGACAGACATACACAGACAATAGACACAGAGCGACAGTGACAGACACAGAGAGACAGTGAATAAATAGATGGACAGATAGATGGATGAGCAGAGAAATGAGTAAATGGAGGAATAGATGGCTTGATAGATTGATGGACAGATGGATTGATAGATGGATGGATATATAGACTGAAGCATGAAGACAGATAGAGGGAGGAACAGATTGATGGACAGACAGATAGGTGAATAGATATATGAATAGATATATGTATAGAAAGAGGAGAAGGTGGAGAGATAGATAGACTGATTGATGGATAGATGGATGGATAGGCTGAAAGATATATGGATAGACAAATGGATATGTAAATGAATCGATAGACAAATAGATAGATAAATGAACGGATAGACAGATGAGTAGAAAGCTAGATGGATAGATAAATTGATGGATTGGTGATGTAAAGGTGGATGGATAGAAAGATAGATGGATGTGTAGATACATAGATATATGGATAGATGGGTAAATAGATTAATAGACGGATGGATGTTCTAATATATGTATAGATAGAAGGATAGGTAGATGGAAAGATGGATGAATACGTAGATAAATGAATGGATATATTGTTAGATAAATAGATGGATAGCGTAATGGTTATATGGATGGATAGACGATTTAATAGGTGGATGCATAGATGCGTGGATAAATAACTGGACAGACAGATAGATAGATGGAGAGGTAGATCATTGTTTGCGTTATAACTATAAATTTAGTGTCAAAATGTTCGAAAATAATTTTTCTATAGAGTAAATTCGATACAGATAAATAAGCAGATAACGGTAGATAGATAAATATATAGACAGATAGAGATAAGTAGACAGGGAAGACAAACAGAGAGCCAGGGGGAGTCATGAGTGTCAGGAACACAGGCCAGGAGCCATGTATCAAGCTGTGTCATGTGAACCAGTAGCACGAGGTCTGGAGCCATGTGTCCAGCTGTGTCATGTGTACCAGTAGCACGAGGTCTGGAGCCATGTATCCAGCTGTGTCATGTGTACCAGTAGCACGAGGTC